TGTGGACTGGATTGGAGATGCTCAGTCTGGATCTCTTCTACAAACATACACAGACACTCTCCAAAAAACACCCTTGTTCTTGGCTCCACAGTATTTCTGAATTTACTGATCAATGCAGACCACTCAACATGGTCCTAAAAAACATGCAACAGACTTAATACTGCCTGTTAGAAAGATAGAAAAGAAAGCATCCCTATAATAGTATTGAAATTACTAAAATTCAAAGAAAGGGAGGTTGCAGGGGCTGATTTCTTGCAAGGAGTCTTGGCATTTTTTGCCATTGTTCTCACCACAGGTACGTGTCCAGTATGAAAATACAGCAGTTCATTCCAGACAGTCCCGTGAGCACTGAAAAAACAAATGAATTATGCTGAACAAACCAAATACAAAATGTTAAAGACAGCTTGGACAGTAAGGCCTGAGACAGGTGATGGCAAGCAGATGTACAGGACAAAACCAACATAACTTTCTGCCCAACCTTCATGGACTAGCAGCAATCTCCCCACTGGGAAGGAAAGTAGAGACTTAGCGAACATAACACTGTGGGGAAAACAAATCAGTGAGCACGTGGTATCATCAAGCAGGGCAAAAACTTATCCACCTGCTGCTCTAATAAGCCCTAGTATCCAGATCTACTATGGGCTGTAACACCGTCTTGCTTGTGACAAAGCTTTTGGCCTAACACAAGGCATTCACTCTTCATCATATGTACTCAGCAAATGACGTGTAATGGGCACTACTTTTTTAGCCAATAGCTCCAGTAGCTTGAATATAAAGACAGGACTCAGGCAAACTCCATTCTCAGAGGCAGCATCACCATCTGAGCATGTACTTCTTCGTATCAGAAGTGATCATGACTTTAACTGGCTCAGTATGCATTTCATATCCAATGAATCAATGTCTTCCACATAATACATTTTGCATCAACAATAGCTAGCTATAAAGAACAACATGTATATCTTTGCAAACTTCCTCCAGAAGCTCAGGAACTAGTTCTGAAATATGCTGTAAGATCTGCTTTAGGTTATGATATGTTCCTAGTTAGGTGCAAGTAAGAAAGAGAAATCAGGTGACAGCTTCACATACATTTAAAATAGCTCAAGACACAGACCTTTTTTTTTTAAGGGATATTTTCCCTCATCTCTTATTTTTATTTTTATTTTTTTTTAAACACAAAGAGCAACTCACCCTCTAATGGATTTCGTACTACATGTATTTCTTCTCACCTAATAGCTTTATAACTAGATGGCTTCTATCTACCTCTCAACACTTAGAGAAAAACAGAACTCACTAGAAATACCAAGATCTGAGATTCCGTTTATACTAGTGTATATTTTGTCTTTTTTAAAATAGCTGATAAAAATATTGCATGCCATTGAATGATTTACCACCAACGAAAGATTAAGCTAAACCACGAACTCACATATCTTTCCCACACATTGCCTCCCTGCATGATGTACCAGAACAGACGTGGCTCACTGCAGAACTAACCACCCTGCGCCATTTTGGTGACTAGCAGTAAGCTGTAGTAAGATCTGAGTCAGCACAATCTCACCTTCAAAGGAAGTGAGCCTAGAATTCACTTTTTTTGGGTATCGTTCTGCCAGAACAAGCCCAAACCTTCTGGTCCTTAAAACCCACCAGGGATCTTTACGCTAATAAAAAGGCTGAAGCCAGAGCCCTTTGACATGCTGAAGTTCTTTCCAGCTGCTGCCTTGAGACTAGCCACTTCTGATCCCCACTTTGAAACACCTGTTCCAGCTTGATGCTCAATGTCATTCTGCTCAAGAATAGCAGCTCAGGATTTGCGTACATTCACTCTTGGCACTCCCTGGCTTCCATTCTCTCAGGGAGAAAAATGTCATTACCTCTCATTATGTGCATCACAGCACCTCCACTATGTGTGTGTTTCTGACAAACATGAGTTTCAGAGAGAACAAGCACACCTTCACCTACGTCGGCTACTGTTCAATCTTGCTTCTCTGCTCTCCCCCTACACAGTATCCTTCAACAGGTGACTTAACCTGGGTTAAGGCCTTCAACTCTATCCAGGATCTGATCAATGGCTTCCTTCTCACTTCCTCCCTCTTTTCAGAGCCTGTTGCAGAAGGCATCCTTATTCCTCAAGCTTATCCCTCAGCAGAGCTCCCCAACCCAGCAAAACCAGAGGCCTACCTTAAGAGAGGAAAGGAAAGAGGACCCAGTACACAGAAGCCAGGTCAAAGAACAAGCTAGATCCTCCTTATACACAAACACACAGGCTTTTCTGGGTCTTTTCTCCCTTGTTGCTTTTGTTGAGCTGGTATGCCACACATACTTGAACCACTGGAAAGCTGATTCTCCCAAATATGAGGTAAATGTAAAAACCTATCAAGAATTTACACAGAGAAGCCAGACCCTTGCCTACTAATCTCTGGTTTCCTACATTTAGGACATTCTTCTAACTCTATATTGACAGGTTTACACTCTATCTGACATCTTTGCCTATTCCAGAGGACAATTAGAGGAATTAGAGACTTAGAGGCCACTGAACTGAGCATAAAGGAAACAAACCCAAGATCTGTTGCAGCAAAACAGCTCTACAGATTTGTATCCTCGCTGTTCAAGAACAGAAGTTTGTTCACTTTTGTGGGTTCTTTTCCTTTTCTTTCTTATGCACTTAATGAGGTGACACTGTAGATTTTACCTGCCTGACAACGCTCAAGAAAATTCTCCCAACCAAAGGTAGTAACATGAACAGAAATAATTCTTCCTTCATCAAAACATATGCTAGCAGCTCTTTATTTCTTTATTCATTATTACTAATTTAACATTAAATATTCTTAAAATTAATTTCTCATTAAATATTCATGCAATTTCAGAAATGACAGGCAGTGTGTTTTGTATTGGCTCTAACATACATGCCCAGCTTGTTTCATATATTGAACAGTCATAATACTTGCTAATAACCTCACTTACGAAAGAAAAAAAAAAATGTTCAGAGTTCAGAATCAACCCTTTAGATTTTAAGAACAGTATATTATAATTAATATAACATAAGCATGTCTATGAATTCTAACAATTGAAAAGGCTTTCCTCCAGGGTTTCCCAGTTCTGTATCTGCCTTTTCCCCAGTGCTACATTACAAGTTTTGCTAGACAAATTTGCAGAACTCTCAGGACTCCAAGGTGTTTTCTGTAGGTGATGTTTTCATTGCTGGTTTTTTTGGGTGGTGTGTCTGGGGGGACTTAAGGTGTTGGTTTGGTGTTTTTTTTCCCTGTTTTAATTCAACCATTACTGATTTCAATCCAAACCATGTGGTTCCCTTCAAGAAACATTTTTCAGAGCACATAAAATCCCATGTTTTACTCTAGAGATCTGAGAACATTGGGGAGTTATACATGCAAATTTCCCCTTTTCAAACGCTTAAGTGATATGCCCTGCAGGGATCTTAAAGACATAATTATTTTCCCTGCAGAGGATTTTTAAATGATATAGCATAATCCGATTTACTGAAAAAATGCAGGAGCCTTATTCTCTTATTTCTTACTTCGGTAAAATGCCAATTGCTTTTGCAGGGAATGGTCCTTATCTAAGAAAGCAATAAATCCTGCACAATGAACACACCATTAATAGCAATATAATCTTATCATGTGCATACCACATCCTCTGTTTAGACAGATCTACAGTCATCAACTAATTCACCCGTTTTACCCTGAGGTTAAAAAAGGGGAAAAAAATAACCAAACAAGAAACTTCCATTTTACCATAGGAAATTAAAATCCCAGAAATTTAAATAGCTGTGGAGAATATCACTGTTCTAGCCAAAATTAGATTTGAGGAGTTTCTGGTATCAGATGCAATACTGAAAGTATAGGTTTTCAATTAAAAAGCTACATCTGGATGCATAATAATATATCACAAAGGTGCACTTGTACCCCTGGAGAAACAAAGAAGCTGGAAGAAGCTATTAATTAATTCTTTTTACAAGCCAGCAGTCTTCTTACAAAACCAGCAACACATTAAATCAAATAGAGTGGGATGTGAAACACAGAACTGTAAAAGTTATAAAAATAGACATTGAAACAGAATGATTCAATGGAAAACACTGAACCATTATATTTTCAGAATATCACATTTCCTTGATAGAAGTTTCTTTTTCCCCAAGTCTTGCATTTACTCAACAGGCATAAAATGGACTTCTCAAGCTTGTAATTGAAAGTAGTATTAATATTTGCTTTTCACCTCCTATTTCAACTTCATTTAGCATTCAAACACACAAAAGGGTAGAAATATTTAGGCCACTGTGTAAACTATAGTGTTCTTCAAAGAACTAATGATCTTGAAATTACGCAGCCTCAAGGCTGAAACGCTCAGATCAGATTCACACAGATCAGTAAGATCTTTGCTCTAAACAGATGTAACTCTGGAAGTTTTTATATCTCTATAATTCTGAACATGACAAATGCACAGTGAATCCACTCTTTGTAAGATATTAAGTACCAAAAAGTTATCTTTAGCTGTGCTGGTTTTCATTCATTTGCTTAAGAAATAAACTCGAGCTTTTGAATTGGTGTTACTCAGAAAAAATTGTACTTTGATATTCATATACACAAAACCACAAATCAAATAGTAATCATATTTCAAGTTAAAGGTCAAAATATGCATTGCTTTCTAAGAGTAAAAATATGCCCAATTTGGCTATCATGTTACACTGTTCATTTAATGAGGTTTAATTTCAGAAACAGAACGTGTTTCTTCAATTGCAATTTTTCCAGCTTTTTAAAACTCCCAATCAATACAGACCATCAACAATTCCTGTGTTAACCACTAAGAAAAAATAAGCAAATTAACTGAGTATTTGCCCTTGATTTATTCTTTGGTCTCCATTTACTACACTAAGTTGAGTGAATGGAATGTGAATCTAGACTGAAGGAGTGTGACTAAACACCTATGTTGTGTGACAAAAACACAGTGTATGCTCAGTGCGCTGTAATGGGAATTAACTGAAAAAGTCATACCTGTGGGCACAAAGCCTCTATGTGATTAGCTGCCATTTGGACAATTTTCATTCCATCTTCATTTGTTGACAATGAACAAGCCAGATTAGCAACCTTAAATAAACAAACAGACAAGTTTTGTAAGCAAGTATTCATCCCCAGACTCTGAAACTTGCCAAAAAGCATCTCTGCTGGAAAGCCTTCACTATCTGTGGAAATCCATTTGTCAAACAACATATTTGTAACTGTGAAAGAGATGAATACCAAATACAAACTTAAGAACTAGGAGGGGGGGGGTGTGCCATGATGACACAAATAAAATAAAGCAATCCAGTGAGGTAGAGATTAATCCTGAGTAATCATAGTGCAGAAGATACTTCACTCGTAGGAGTTGAGAGCAACTGAACTGGGAAATAGCATTTGATATTCAGCATTACAGCACTCAACACGGCTTTTGATAGAACTCAGATACCCTATATAAATTAACTGTTAGTCTGCTCTCCTGCAAGGATAAATGATAAAAGGTACTTGCATATTCTTTTTTTCTAATTTTGTGGTATACTGAACTATACAAGATTATTACATGTTCCTAGCTTCTGGCACTAGCTTTATTCATGAAGCCTTAAAAAGTCTTCTGAGGAAAGTGACTGTTCATACAAAAAAAAAAAAAAAAAAAAAAAGTGTCATGGAAAAACTAGGAAGGTCAACAACAAATAATGGCTCTCTACTTTTTTTAAGAAAAAAACTACACTGATGTATGTATGTCTTCTAGTCACTGCAGCATCTTTATAAGCATTTATGATTATGTGCATTTTTATGAGCTTAATAAAACCACATAGACTTCAATATTTGTTTAGAGTGAAAAAACACACTCCTGTGGACTGGCAAAAACATATTCCAGTGAGCAACTAAATAATATCACAATGTTGCTTTTTTCCAACCCATTTTCTACCATAAAACTAAAGTTCTTTCCAGATCAAGGCAAATAATAATACTGAGCTATTTATAAGCTGCTGACAGAATTTATATGTCATTTTTGCATTGTTTATAAAATGCTTTAGGATACTTCAGATCAAAAGTTACACTACTACTTTCAGTTTTATTAGTTTTTACTTTTGTGAGAATAAAGTTAGGAACTGAACTCAAAAATATATTTATGTCGCTTTCCCTGTCTCAGATTTTCACCTTCCAGTCTTCAAAAAGATTCCTGAATCTGCTAATTTAACTACTGTGGGGCACTACATATCTGCAAGCCTTTTCACTCATATTTTGGTTCCTTCTGCACATCTCTTAATTTTGCCTGTCTCTCTCTCTCTTCCATTTTCTGCAGAACTGAATTACCTAGTACCATAATCACTACTTATTCAGCAAAATTAGCTCTACCTTGTACACAGGAAGGCTTATCACTGCCCCTGTTCAACTGTAACCAACTACCTCGTTAACATGAAGAAACTCCTCAGAGTATTATGTAACTTCAAATATTTCCTGTAATGCTATTTGTCAAGCATGCTAATGATTCTATTTCCATAAATAATTAATGAAGTGTATTTGAATACCAATGGATTAGATTGTTCTTTTTTTAACCAACATAAACCTAGAACAACCCACTGCAACTGGTTTATTTTCAGTTCCATGTGCTCAGACAACTGTTATCTCATACATTTAAGTTCACTTGGGAGACTGTTTTGATAAACTGGGCCTCAACCAGCATAAAAATGGAAAATAAACTGAACAAACACCATACTCTGAGGCAAAGATCATATGTATGTAATGTAAGGGAAAATTCTGCACAGTAACATGTCAGAAATAATTTCCTGTTCAATAAAGTTGTCAGGCTTGATGCACAGGCCCATTAAGCCTTCTCTCCTTGCTTTGGGTCACAGTAAGGACAGCTGAAGAACTAAGTTAAGAATTCACACTCTGGACCTCAGTGTGCAGAGCTCTGGTTAAAACCAAGAAAAGATACTGTATTTGGACTACATTTGTGCTCTAATCCAAGTTAGCTGAAGAGTCCACTAAACAGAAACTGCCTATAGGTGTGACCTGTGTCTCACTGACAGTTTCTCAAAAAATGTACCATCCACACCAGTACCACACTTAATCTACTGGAATAACCACAAAGTGGCCCTTGATTTCTGAAGAAAGGTCCTTCCATGGGCCCAAACGTAACAGCAGGTGAAAGACCCAAATGCAAACTATGACACCTCCCCTTAGCACCGTTTGTTAAAATCAGAGGGCTTTCCAGCAGTACTACACAAGTACAGAAATAAAAAGAAGCCTACCCGAAAAGGAAAATAGGATAAGCAAAGAGCTGCCTAAAACTCAACCATTTTACTGCCTTGTCTCTACCTCTTTGTTCATACAGGCAGAAAAATATGTCAGTATAAAAAAAACCTTATTTTAGCAGTAGGCAGAAACGTTCTATGCTATATTAAACCAGAAGAAAGCATACTTTTCAAAAGGAGAAAGTGACTGTCCAATTCTATAATCATGTAACCAACAACCAACCTTCTGATTTTCCCTATCTCAGCCTGACAACAAACACTACAAATCAGACAGAAGTTAAACATGAAGCAAGAGAAAGAGGCCATCAGTCATGAACAGGATCAGCCAATTCCTTAAAATATCTAAGAGGAGTGATCAAAACTCACTTTCAGAACATATACAGCCCTTGAGGGAACTGGGCACCACACACACAGAAGTGCTTTTGAACAGAGATCAGTGAGCTGGGCTCAACTGTCTGACATCAACCTGTCTGACAGTAGCAGGATGCGACAAACATCTATCACCAGTGAAAGCCAGTAAGGATCAGGGTGGATCAACCAGTTCTCAAACAAATACATCTCAAATTCAAAATATCCCGCATATTTTCCAGTTTTTAAACATACTACCATCTTATGAGAGGGAGTATTTTGCCTTTTCCCCCATCAATTAATCTTTTTGCACCTTATTACATGTTTCAGTGTAAAATTTCCAAATATCTTTTTCCTTCTGCATTCACTTTTTTTTTTCCTTTCCTCCCTGCATGAAACCTTCTATCTCCCACACCTACACAAATACAAAACATATAACAAACTCTTGTTGGAATATTCGAGGTTTTAGGCCCTTTTCCCCTATAAAACAAAGGTAAGATCCAAACACAGGCACGATCACATCTTCAGTTATTTTCTTAGTACTCATTATTCAAAGAGTCTATGAAACAATACATATTACCCTTCTTTTAAGGATTTTTCCATTAGACTAAATAATGTACAGCTTTGTCATACATATATACCCAAGTGTACTCAGGTGACTTTGTTTCCCCTAGCCACAAAATCTTAAAGACTCTTCCTGTTGTCAGAACCAAAATCTTCACCTCTTTGCCTCTGACTAGTTAATGGAGATGGAAATCGACCCCACAAGATGCAGCATATTGCTTCCAAGATGCGTACACCTTCTATTATTTAAATCAGCACGAGCTAAGAAGACTCAGTATGCTAACAAAATGAAAACACACATCTCTCACTTAGCACTTAATAAATATTAGTGGAACAGGAGAGGAAAGAGATTTCTTTCCAGCAGTGTAATTACTTAGTTACAATACCAGAAATTCTTTCATTTCTGTGTTTTCAATTCCTTGAACAAGTAGGACACCCAACAAATAAAACATTAAATGATTTTTTTTGAATGAGAAACAAAAACACAGTTCATGTAACAGTTCTCAAAATAGTTCAAAATAGAAACAGTCCCCTACAAAAGATACATATTTATCCTTTTATAAAAACAGCTACAGTTTAAGCGCCTTGTTCTGATGCAACAACTGAATTGGTTATACACGCTACAGATTTAATTTTTATAAATAAAAGATCAATCACACTGACTGTAAATTAATTTGACAATACACCAAAAACAGAATTCACCTCTAGACAGTTACAGAGAACAACCACTCAGAAATGTAATAAGTACTGTATCACAAATACTTACCAAAAAATCATCACAGGGGAAGACCCCAACAAATCCACAGATAACAAAAGAAAATGAAAGATTAGTGCAACAAAACATACCTTCAAAATTTAATCCATCTTGGCATCAGCCCTTGAATGAACTTTTGCCTCCGCAGAAGGTATGGCAATTCATTTTATATTTAAGTTTATTACAACCATCTGCTTTGGCAATATAGAAAGTATACAGCAGTACAGGTTTCTGCAATAAGTATTTTTTGCACTAAGCAGCAGCTAATCTACATTCCAGTTTGTTCTCAGCTATCATTATTATTAACTACTGCTACAGAATTATAGATGTGTGTGGTGCTTGAGCACTTATAAGCAAATCTAAGATGAGAATAACAGGGGAGTCAACAGTAACACCTCGAGGGTTAGCTATGGCTGAATAAAGTCTGATGTGTAGAATGCTAATGAATATTACTTAGAAGCATAAACGAACTCTTCAGCAACAAAATAACATTTTTTTTCTCCATAGTTGAAATGCAACAAGAGAGGAAGACACAAGCATATACCTACTCAATAACACAAATTCAATTCACTGTATCACCAAAGTAGCTCACATCAGCCATACAAACTTTGATATTAATTTTCACACATCCACCATTAATATCACCTACCTCATTTTCTGCAGGACACAATACTGTGTTTCAAATTGCATGTGACACATTCAAAAACAGTTAAACTGTTCATCCTCTAGAGAATTCAGCATGTCCAATTTATCTTTAAAAAAGGAATCTCTTCTTGATACAACAAACAAAATGTCAGGATAATGGGTTGCTCTTCACAGGGCCAACAGCAAAAGGACTACCTTAGATTCTTAATCTAAAATTAGTGCAGAAACATTGTATTTCCCCGCAAACTACTGAAGAGCAGTTCAATGATATAACCAAATAACTAAAGGAGTATGAAGAAACACAAATGCATAGGACAAGATTGTAATTTCACTTTACCTGTGAAAATCCCAAATACTATCACTGAGTTTGGCTAAGGCTTGCACCAAAAGGTGTCACTGGCCTTTCAGAAAAAGTTTTCCTCCCTAATTTAATTTAACCAAATCAGTACTGCAAAATAAATACACAAAACTATTCAACCATTTATACCAGCATACATGGCTAGTAAGCTGGGACGACA